TCTCTTTCTTTTATTAGAGCTTGCCTCTTAATACTTAGATCGCTAGGCGACGAGCAGTTCTAGCCTCTACATCTAATCGATCGAGGCTTCGATAGGGTCTATAGCCTAYAGAGTRGCAATTACACGGTGTAGGTTGTAAGGGACACTATTATTATTAATGCCCTCCTTAATAGATAGTTCTTTTTGTAATGTAGTRTCTAGAGGAGGGTTTTCTTCTCTAGGAGGTTCGCGGCTGCCTTACGGTGCCTTTACGGTACCTCCGTCTAGATTAAGCTAATCCTCTAGTCTRGCGCTGCTACTAGGCGTTAYATCTTCCTTATCGATAATAAACCCTAGGGGATTATTAGCCTCGGTACGTTTAGGTCGTACGGCTCTTTTTCCTGCTAAAGACATTTTCGATAGGTTAGTAGGGATCTATAGAGCCGTTGCGGTAGCTTTGTAGTAGCGCTAGACTCGAATCGAGAGCTTGTTTCGTACTTAAGACGGCTATTCCCTAGTAGGGATGTAAGGCAATATTCTATAAGGGTGTTGTAAACAGGGGGTCTTAATACTAAGCAGTAATTCTTAGATATGTACGATATTGCCTAGGGAGCGAAAGGGAACAGGTAATAAGGACATTGCCCTTTTGTAGGATTGCGCCCGGTGCTAGTTAGGCTCGGCGGTGCCGTAGAGGTACCGCAGAGTTATCCTTTAGCCGTCGCATCCGTATAGGGAAATCCTGCTAAGGGTGTAATTCCCTTATTCTTTCTAAGAGGGATTCCCTAGGTAAGGGTTTAAAGGGCGGTGTCCCGCTCCTTTAGGGTCCCCTTATAGTAGCGCCTAAGTTATAAGAGCGTAGAGAGCGCCTTAAGCTTATAACGATGTCGCTAGTATTCGCCGTAGGTCGCTTTCCGAGTAATTTCGCGCTTAGGGGGACTAGCGGGTCTTAACCGTTACCCTTCTTACCCTTATCGCCGTCGTCGTTCTTCTTAGATCCCTCCGCCTAGCTACGAGTTATACGCCTATCGCCTATAGCTTCTTAATATATATAGCTAGTATAAGAGAAGACGTGTGTAATAGAAGTGTTAATTAAGGGACTTAATTAGGGAAGGGGAAGATAGATGTAGATATAGATACGGAGGAGAAGGTTAGTAGATTAAGAGGGCGAGTTAATATATACCCTAGTAGCTCTTAAGCTGCCGAATATACGTTACGCCTCGACGCTCCTATACCCCGTATACTACTCCCGCTCTACTACGCTATAACTACCTGCTTAAGCCGAAGTAGCTAATCGTATACGCTATATACGTACTACTCTAAGCTACTAGCTATATAAAGGATATAGCTTATAGTAAGGCAGAAGTGAACCCTACGTCTAAGCCTTTTACTTAAGCGATAGGGCTCTATAAAATAACCTATAGGGACCCCTTAGGTCTCTTAAGTAACTCCTATAGTTTTAAGGGCAAAACGACTTAGTAGGGGAGGATATTCTTAAAGTCTCTACTTAAGAACTAAGCATATATGCCTAAGGCTTAAGTAGCCACGTAACTTAGGCAGGACTATATAGCCGAGGAATTTTCMCTTAAGTAAATTGAATTAGAGAATTCATCCATTTTAGAACATCATTGGCCGACTTGGCTGACTTCGTAAGTGTCTTAGCTTTCCAAGTCAGCCAACTCTTCCTAACAACACATCCGCCACTTTCGCACTATTCATACCACCACCAAGATGGTAGTTGACACGGCGTATTATGATGCCCTGGGCGTCCCGCCCACCGCCACCCAGATTGAAATCAAGAAAGCATACCGCAAACAGGCCATCCAGCTGCATCCCGATAAGAACCCCGACGACCCCACCGCGCATGCGAAGTTCCAGGCGGTTGGCGAAGCATACCAGGTCCTCAGCGAACCAGATCTCCGCAAGCAATATGACAAGCTTGGCAAAGAGGGCGCAAAGCCCGATTCTGGCTTCGAGGACCCCGCCGAGTTTTTCACCATGATCTTCGGCGGTGAGGTCTTCCAGGACTGGATCGGCGAGATTTCCATGATGAAGGACTTGWCCAAGAGCATGGAGATATCCATGCGTGAGGAGGAAGAGGCCGCTGCGACAGCCGAAGTTGCCGCTGCGACCGAGGAGGCTGCTGCGAAGAAGGAGGCGTCTGCAAGCAAAGATCCTCTGTGGGTGCCTGACACTGCTGGCACCACTGAGAAGACTACTGGAACTGCCACGGAAATTCCTATCCGCGATACGAAGCCAGCTGCAGCAGACGCCAAACCACCTGTCTCGGGAAGCTCCACACCCCGCCCGCACGGCGTTCCTACCCGTCTAGCCATCACGGATAAGACCGAAGAGGATGCCGCAGCCGCTGCGGCCGGAATGACCGAAGAGGAAAAGAAGCTGCGGGAGAAGGAAAAGCGCAAGGGCCTGAGCAAGGAGCAGCGCGAAGAACTTCAAGCCTTCGAAATGGAACGTAAAAAGGTCCGCGATGAGCGCGTGGAGACGTTGGCCAAGAAGCTCATTGACCGCGTCAGTGTGTGGACAGAGACGGAGAAGGGTGAGGCAGTTACAAATGCCTTCCGGGAGAAGATGCGTCTCGAAGTGGAGAATCTCAAAATGGAGTCTTTCGGCATCGAGATCTTGCATGCCATCGGCCAAACATACGTCAGCAAGGCCGCAACTTTCCTCAAGTCCCAAAAGCCACTGATCGGTGGTGTCTCTGGTTTCTTCTCTAGGCTTAAGGACAAGGGCACCATGCTCAAGGACACCTGGGGCACCGTTTCTAGTGCGATCAGCGCGCAGATGGAAATTGAGGAAATGGCTCGCGCGGAAGAAAAGGGCGGCGAAGACTGGACAGACGAGAAGCGCGCTGAATATGAGAAGCGAGTCACTGGCAAGATTCTTGCGGCTGCGTGGAGGGGCAGCAGATTCGAAGTCACAGGCGTGCTGAGGGACGTTTGCGACAAGGTGCTCAACGACAAGCAGGTGAAGCCCGAGAAGAGGATTGAGAGAGCTCATGCACTGGTCATAATTGGGGAGATGTTCGCGAAAGCAGAGCGAGACCCCGAGGAAGAGGGTGACTTCATGGCTTTCGWACAGCTCATGGCAGAAGCTACAGCAAAGCGCGAAAAGAAGGCCGATAAGAAGGAGAAGCACAAGCATCATAAGGAGGATGCCAATGCACCGGATGAGGCGGCCACGATTGGCTAGGAGCGATCGTCACCTTCACCTTCACCTCCAGGGCAACGCAAATCGAACGCAGAGAAGCCGATAATCCAGGGTAGCTCTGGCTCCCAAAGCCCAAGCAAGCCCGAGATGAGTTCCGCATGGTTCAAACCCTCAGCAAGGAGTCGCCGATTCTTCGCAGCGCTTGGAAAGCTTTTCAAGAAGTTTTCTCGAAACAAAGCTGCGTCACCACCTGAAAGCCCTGATCCCCATGGAGCGAGAGAGAACACCGAGGATGGAAGTACCTGAACATGCAATAGATAGCAAACAACGCGGCCATTTGCTCCACATGCAGCACGTTATTGCTGCAAGATTTTGGCCCACTCGGAGAGAGTGGAGGAGCTGCAGTACCTTCCGGGCGGTGGTAGACCGGGTCTTGAACGGTTTCCTTGCATATAGATACCCTACCTTAGCCCGAACATATAGAGTACCTTACTTGACGACGCCTGATTGCGCATTTGACTTCGCGATAGTGTGCGCGTATAATTGAGCGTTGGCTTCTCCACGTTGGGTGTCACCGTAAGCGTGCCGCGGCGCTCAAAGGCACGACAGAGGCTGTATGCACCCTCTAGACGACCTGTTGACCTGTTTGGCCTGCAGGCTGCATGTGGCTATTATTGGCACCGGCTTGMCGGCTCAGCCCTGTGCACTTGCGTCACACTCTCCATTCCACCTAGCGAAGTCTAGACCATACCAGACCAGAGCCAGGCAATGCGGTGAAAAGAGCAGTCTTGTGCTTGCATCCTCTCGGAAGCATGCAAAGTCCGCACGACTGATGAGCCATCTAGTGAAGGCAGTTTGTTGAAAAGGATCTATGTCTCCGCCGTCTGCCGGTTGATCCGACAGTTGCCGCTGAGGTGTGTCTTCAAAGTCCGACCAAATCGACACGGTGTTCCCTTCCATGGGCAGAAATTCATACAGGCTCTCACTCACTCACTCACTCACTCACAGCCGTCTGATCATACCTCCACCTCTGCTTCAGAGAATCTCGACTCGAAAGATCTAGCCCTGATTGAGTTTACACGGGCGCCGACCTTGTGAGGGAGCTGGATCGAGAGAGGTACTTCAGGCTTTTAAGCGTGTTGTATAGCTCTCCGCCTCGAATCTTCAATCGTACTAGATGCGGATTGAAGAGTTCCGGCAGCTGTTGTTCAGGCACGCTGAACCTCTCAGCAGAGATATCATCGCTCTTCGGCCTCCCAAGCCATAGTACGAATCCCATTGTGTACCGTTGCGGTCGATGTTGAGCTGTTCACAACGATGGCGGCAATTGATACGACTCGAGGCCGGATAGGCACCAACCCACATATCAACAATCGGAAGGTTACATTGAGCAGAAATGAGAGAGGTGCGTTTCCATCATCGTACACAGTTGACATCAAGAAACCAAGGCTGATTTGTGCATGCATCACAGATGACTGTTGGTCACCCGTGCGTGCTGGAAATGTAGCAATGGTCCRAATGCTATGCGACTGCATCAAAGCAGAAGGCAAGAAACTTCCCTTGAAATCGATGCTCCAAGTCGCAACTCAAGGATCCAGCGTGGAGATGCTTGATTACCTCTTCTCAGAAGGCGCCAAGGTCGACATGGACATTGACTACATCATGCCCATTCCCGGTGGTGATCGACCCATTGGATTCTTCCGTCTGCTAACGAAACATGGCTGGCCCAAAGGACCGCGCGGTTTGTCTGTCAATCTCCATCATGGCTTCGAGGTCGTTCAGCTGATCCTCGAACGCGGATCTCGGGTTGGATATCTTTGCGTCAAATCCGCTATACGGAGCGGCGATGTTCAAGTGGCGGAGTTACTGATGAGCAGGATCAATCCCGCAGCAAAAGTACCAGACGCTTACGACATGTCAATGACTTTGGACGACGTCGAGAGATGGTACGGCCCGGAGATGAATTCGGAACCACCATCTGTGAAACGGATCATCAACGAGGCCGGTATGCTACACATGGCTGCTCTGGATCAGAATGCGGACATGATACGCTTTTTGTTGTCCAAGGGAGCAGATGTAAACCATGTGCCGTTACCCGAACAGTGTTGCCGTAGACCAAATGGCACAGCTTTGCATAAAGCTGTCAGTGGCTCTCTCCAAGGCAAAATCTCGAAGCCTGAAGTCGTTGAAGCATTGCTTCATGCTCAGGCGGATCCATCTCTGACGGACGAATTGGGCCGGACACCTATCGAAATCAACGACAAGTATGGGAGTGACGACACAAAGGAGGTCATTCGGAAGTTGTTGTTGGAAACCATTGATAAAAGAACTACATGATCGACGGAACCAGACTACAACCTATCATGTCGAGCTCTCTTAGCCACGGAAATGTCCGAGAAACCATCTACCAACCTACTTGAGTCCGTGGATGCAATTCCTGGTTCTGTTGGGTTGATGAACGCAAGAGGGTCCAAGATCCCAAAACTTGCAGCTTGGAGAGTCGGTGGAACTGCGCGAGCTGCATTGCAATGCCTTGGCGGCACGGAGCGCTGCCCGAGGCCGCCAAATCGACCCGATCAGGTGCAGCGATGACATGCCTCTCAACCGGCAGAGCAATMAATCCGAAACCTCAGGTCGAAAAGGATTGGCAGAGGTCTGCTCGACGCTAGTTGATGTTTTCGGACTCTGTCCTGCTCCGCCGCCTCGAAGCCTAGAAATAGTAATGGGGAAGCGGTCTTCAGACCGGCAAAGCTCCCTTGTCAAGGCAGTGCGAGGCTTCAGCWCATCTGCTTGGAGTCGACTGGGCCGAGGATTGCTAGAAAGGCCTGCCGAGGCATGACCTGCTCTATGACCAGATGATGAACCGTCCTGCGTTGGAAGGTGGAATGAAAGGCTGGCTGTGAGAAAGACGCACTTTCGGCAAGGCTATCGTTGATCGTCGGTCGAGCATTCCTTGTGGGAACTATGAGTAACTTGCAACCTGTATATCTTCTCAGGTGCAATTCCATCAACCCTCGACTCACGTGGCGCAGATGATGTGTGAAACATCGGACTGTACTCCGAGAATACCATGTAGATCCGAATCAATTTGTACTGCATTCCTGAAGCCCCGCGCTGCGTGTGCGAAAATGCACAAGCATTCATATCAGCAGGAGAACAATGGAGCTCAACTAACTGCTTCTGGGAAACCTGAGAGAGTCGAAATTAGCTGTGCTGTAGCACACATGACAACTCCTGACGTGGTTGAGCAGAAATCCCCCCAAGCGGCGCGAACGACTATTTCGCCCTGATGTGATCATCCCACTCAGTCACCACACCAGACGACTCACCTAGATCAAAATCTCCCGCCCAACTCCAAAAGTTGTCGTCCATACTAAAGAAGTCGGCAGAGAATATGTCCTCTGGAGGCGTGGGCTGGTTCGATCCGCTGGGAGCTCTGAATTGTTGTTCTGTTTCTGCCCCAGTCCGAGTGGTTGCTGGGTCTGATCTAGCCGCGTACATCTGCTTCAGCCAGCGTAATCTCTTACTCCAGTAGCTGAACGAGTCGTTGTGGATCGGTAATCCGCCGTTAAGGTCCAGTGCGGCCTGTTGAGGTTCTTCGAAACGCGTGGCTAGCTCATCGAGTATACTGTTGAAATTCAACTGATCCACCATTGATCTCAGACTCCACTGCTCAGTGTCTATTGCAGCAAGCCTCTTCCAAACAATGAGAGCGTGTGCAAAATGTGAAAATGTCGCGAATGGTATGAGGAAGTAGACCGAGGAGGGAACCGTGAAGAACACTTCAACTGCAAATGGAGTTAGCCTCGGAGGAATCTCAAGTAGTGGGAACGATGCAACGAGCTACGAAGCTCCCGCCTTCAAAAAGGTCACCTAGGGTATCCTTGGATCGAGCACGAGGAGTAGCCTGCATCGCAGCTGCAACGGAGTCGCCTTACAAAAAGCCTTCAAAGCCTCCACACAGCGATGGAGGTCTTCTAAGCGACCACTCAAGGATACGCCCCTACTCTCCGCCAGATCGGCGAGCGCGAGCTCAGCGATGTGCATGTCAGCTATGAGATACTGCAGATGAATAAATGTGTTGTTCTCCGAGCAGCGGTCAAGCCTCCGCAGCCGTTCAACATCTGCTTGGTACGCTTTGACGTACAGGCGGGCTGGTGCGATTGGGCGGTCCGTAGTATGGATCGTTTCGATCACGCGCTGCAATCGCACCATCTGTACCAGCAAGAGGTCGCTCTCAGCTTCATGCGCCCCATCTAGGCTTTCCTAAGTTATCGGAACAGTCAGCAATATCCTGCCCAAGGATCATTCGCCGTTGCGAGTATTGCAGTGCATACCATGCAGCGTTGCATGTGGACTGTGAAGGGCATGGCGTCCATTTTCTTGAAGTTCGATGAGAGCTGGAGATTTCGCTATGGTCAGCCTGGCACTTTTACGTAGCTTTTGATTTTTTACTGGTGTGCAATGAGGTTAAAGCTCACTTACCATGCTGGTGTAAAAGTAGAGGCCCAGGAGAGCCCGATTCTCTGCAAGTCCTGAGATCCTCAACGGTTTTTCATTTACATCCTGCTCAAATTGCTGAGTCTTTCTGTCGATACCCAGATCCATAGACAGGGAGATTCCAAGATGGATCAAGTTACCGAGCTGACGATTCCAAAAGACGTGGGGATGAAACCAGCCAATGAGCACGATAATTCCCTGCAGTATGTCGAGACTTTGCTCTCCTTTCACCAACATACGCTCACCGATGGCTCGGATGAGATCTTTGACCAAGAGCTGTTGTCGTGGTAGGTCATGGAACAATGCCACGGTCGTGACAGCACGGAGCAGGACTGGCCTCTGCTCTTGCATTGATTGGGCAGTGGCGTCATCCGGTAGCGCTACAAAGGGCAGACCGGGGGAGAGAAGCTGTCGATAGCGATGGATCAGACCCTCAGCCTCGTCGAGAGTAATGTCAATCAATGGAACATCTTCCTTTGGGCCAGGTGCGACAGGTACTTCTCGAGGCACACCTGGTGTTTCTGAGTGATGTGAGGCCTGTGGAGGGCCAGTGCGGCGAATGTTGATGTCGTCAAGACATGGACCAATGTAGGCTTCAGAGGGGCTGCCACCGGGCGACCTTTCATTGGGTATGTGCGCTGATGGCTGGGAGATGGAAGGAGAGGGTTGGCCGTGTTCGCCGCGTCGGTTGAGTGGAGCAGAAGACAAGGCATTTACCAAATGCTCTATTTTCGATTCAATCTTCTCCAGCTGCGCCGCACGTCTGATGGGATCGCTATTAGCAGCCTCACTCGTTAATCTTGCATCGCGTCTTGTTATGAAGGTGAATGATGGAGCAAGTGACAAGACGGTCAAACATGGTATCGGCAACCTGGGCCACGGATCGAGTCGATGCCACTTACGTCGGCTTGACTACTTTACGTCTCCGTAACACCGGCTCCTTCAGATGGCATTCTTTCTTGAGTCGAGCACATCTAGCAGCGACACATCAGCTCCAGGTCTGGTCCAATCGCGGCTGGAAGTGCAGAAACTTCAGTGACTTGCCGTTCGCAAATCTGCTCGCCAATATTCCTGACGCATTTAGCCTTGGCCTTGCTGCATGTCATGCATGAGAACCGGGCGGCCTTTGCACTGTTGTTGCCGCCGTCCATGGCGTCTGGAATTGGTGGAGTGGAAGAGGAACGGTCGACCGGACGATATCTTATGTTCCTTGCCGTCGGGGATCGGGACGCGTTTCTCCCCGAACCCGCTCCACTCCATCCCCATCTGGCACCACCTGCAGACCAGCTGTGAAAAGGGATCAGCCACGGTGACAATGCTACAGGCATAGATTATAATAGACAGTGCAAAGAGCACAAGATACGGTAGGTGAACTTGGGTGTCCCAGAGTGAAGCTACAAGCCATAGCGGGCAAAGCTCYTTACACCCATGGTCATCTAAACGCAACTTTCGATGCACGATGAGTAACTGGTTCCGTTCAGTATGCATGCTTGCTTGCTGCATTCGCTCGTTGCCTGTCCTCAAGCGCTCTGGCTTGAGCGAGTCGTCCGCCACCACATCTACCAGCAGCATCTGGACACTTCCTCCACTCATGACCGTACTCTCATCTCCGTGCACCACCCACGTCCTGGCCAATCTGTACCACGTCAGTCGACAGCAACCCACCAAACACATGTTAGCCGAACATACCCGGTACTRCCCAACCTTGTCCCAATCGACCTTCTGTCTCGTGACGGGAAGTTGCCGTCTCAAAGACTTGAAGCTTCCCTCTGCCAGGTTCACAAAAGCCCGGTTCAACTCCTCCTGAAACTTGTTCTCTGCCTGCCCAATGGCTTTCATGATACCCTCTGCACTTCCACCACCTGAGACGCCCAGCTCCAGCTTCTTGCTGGTCGACATGCGAACGTTGCCATCCTCATAGTAGTGCACATCTGCCTTGACGTTCCCGCTCAAAGAATTTGAGGCGGGATCGAGGAGGTATGTGCTGCGCCACCGCCCGTTCCAAAAGTTCTGCGGACTGTATTTATTGGCCACAAGGACTAGAGCAATAGCGGAATCCGACTCGGTCGGATAGATGCCAATAGAGTAGGAGGGGAAATGCTCGGCTGCAGCGGTGGAGAAGGATTTCAATAGAGAGCGGACAAGGTCGGCATGCTGAGATTCGAGAGGATGCTGTTGCGTTTTCGAGGCCGTCTATATCACAGTTAGGGCGGTCACCAATTGCTATTTGGAGCTCGTGCTTGTTGTACCTGCGAGGCATGGTCGACCTCAAACGACGTTTGGCTCGCCGTGTCGTAGTAGCGGCCATTTCCTAGCGAATTGTACTGGCTGATGACCGTCTGTGAGGCGTCAACAAATCGTTGCCCTCGAGCTCAGCAATCGTTTCCATTCAATCTTACTGCTTCGCTACTACCGGGTAGCTTGACTGTGGTGTATTGCTCTTCATTGTAGCTCTTGAATGCCGGCTCGAGCGACTGGAGGAGATTCGGCTGACCGCTGGCAAGTGCCTTGATGTCTGGTCCACTCGTCAGGTGCTGTTGTGCAGCGCACGTGCAATCGCGACATACCGTTGACAACGTTGGAGAGCTGCAGCACCAGTTAGCGGAGTGTCGCATTCGCCTGGTGGGGTAGCATCCTACCAACCTCTCCAGGTGGCGCCGATTCGATAAAAGAGGCCACAATGTCCTCTTTAGATCCCATGATGGCTGGTCGTGTAGTTTGTCTTGGTGTTGTAGATTTAATGTGGAGGTGGAAGGTACCTTAGACGGGAGACGGGACGAATGTGGGGCACCTGAGACGTGAAGGCAACATCAGAGTCATGAGCTCACTTCTTTCATTTCCGACTGTATCTTCAGCATCCCTTTACTAAGGTACATCGGAGGTTCTTCCAACTCTGAGAAGACTTCCTGGTGCGTTGGCATCGACCTAGTCCTCACCAACGCGCAACGAAAGTCGGCCTTCCATCATCAAGAATAACTTCCGATAAATGCAATGCTGTATGCTGCAAACTCCCAACGCCTTCGCTAATTTGACAATGCCTCATTCAATGCTCATCTTCATCAAGCCGTCATTCGTATCAGCCATTGGCTGCAGGCCCAGCTTCTTTCCCTGGCTCACCAAGTTTCCCGAGGAGCTGCCAGACGCCAAGCTCATGCTGCCATTACCTCGCTGCGGCTGTGCCTGAGTCTGGATGCTCGACATGGAGGGATCGCTACTCAAGGAGGGCGTATCGCCCCGAGTCCGGCGGTCTGGCGGTAATCCCCACGATCCACCCGTGTCCCGCTGGCTCGGCGAGTGGCTCGTAAGCACTGGGCTGTTTTGTGCACTCAGACCTGKGCTTACAGCCCGCCGTTTGATAGTCGCGATGTCGAAATCGTCTTCACGTSGTCTCTTGAACTTCTTGAGATGCATGTCATCGCTTACACCTGCCGGTATGCTGCTGTTCGCACTCGGCCCGAATGCCTCGGAAGCATCTGAAGCTGACGACCGCGCGCGAGGACGTCGCCATTGAGTGAAGTCGCCCATGGGAGAGTCCAAAACAGCGTCGGACATGACAAAACTGCTTTGCCGCGATATTGCGGGAGTTGTGTTGGGGGGCGGAGTACGCACAGACGGATCGAACCTGTTCCAGTAGTCTAGTCCACCACTATTGCGACTAGCATGTGCAGCGAAGGTTGCCGCGCCCGTGCTTCTCTGAGATGGCGTCATGTCATCCAGTTCTCTGCCAAAGTCTTCCTGTGCAGACTCTGGGACCGCAGGGAGAAGGTTTGGCGAAGATTGGGCAGTGGAGCTTTGCGGTCGTTCAAGATCAAGCTCGCCAGCACTACCGTCTCGTTCTCGCACCTGTCGAATAGTTTCAGCCTCCCTACGAACTTCGCTGTCAACAGGTGCCGCTTCCTCCATCAATGCGGCACGAATGCGCGCGAATCCCTTTGTTTTGGGGAGCAGATTCTGCCGGCGCGTTACCGCCCGTCTGACGACGCCCGGCGTAGAAGGAGCAGTGAGTGCGGCCTCGTCCCCACTGTCGTTCCCGCTCGACAGATGTAGTGCATCTGTGCCCATGGCCAAGCTCTCTCTGCGACTTCTTGCCGCTGCCGACGACCAGGGGAAGTTTCCCGCCGACTCTATGCTCCGTATCGGGGGTGGTGAAGGGTTTCGTTGATTTGCCATGGAATTGTATCCACTACCACTCGCGCTGCTTGAACTCTTTCTACTGCGGCGTCCTGTCTTGTGAAGCCTCGTGCGTCTGATTGTCTTCATAAGTGATGCTTGAGCGGGCGAGAAGTGAGCTCCGCTGCCCCAGGTCGTGTTTGCTGATCCACCGGGAGTTGATTGTATGTTGAAAGGTGTGGGTGCAGCGTGGGGATTCTGGAGCTTGTGGACCTGCGGCGTTGCGAACATGGGATCTTCGAGGTCGTCACCGCCCATACTGGCATCTTCATCACTATTGCTACTCTCGCTCTCCGAGTTCATCATGTTGACGCTACCAACCGAACTTCCCATGGCTCCTCTCTCGTACGGGCCCACATTCCAGGGCAGACCACTCGATACCTGAGCGCTCGGCCCGTCCAGCACCATGTTGCTCATAGAAAGCTTGCGACTCGGGATAGGCACTCCCTTTTGCGTGATGATCGGTGACGAACACGGGCTGTTGAACTCGGGCAGGGTCGAGTGATGCAGATTGGTGCTAGCTCTTGAGAAGTCCAGTCCGCGCGAATGTCGCGGTAGGCTCGTAGCGGGCGAATGGGGAAGCAAGCCCGGTGGGTGCGCCAACGAGTGCGGCTCAGTCTGCTTGGGTGATAGCGGCGCGGAGGAGGGCAGTATGGATGTCTCCGTGACCCTGGGAGCAGGCAGCTGCAACGTTAACCCGCGAGAGAGCAGTTCGGGTCGTCGATGTGAGTGCTGAGCCCGCGGTGTGCTCGGAGGAGAAGCATTGTGTTCTCTGACCTCAGATCGTTCTCGAAAGGAAGGCGAGGCAGCAAGAGGATCAGAGAAGCTGCGTGCCTTGCTCAAGGACTGCCTGCCGGGTGTTGAGGCAGACGGCGCATCCGCGTCCTCCATTCTGGCCTACATGTATTATCCTACCGAAAAGGCCTGAGAATCGCGACGTCAACCATGGAGCGAGTACAAATTCCGTGCATGGGCGGTGTTGATTGCGAATGCGTCCCGATATGATCAATCTCATGGGATGTGGCAGAGCGAGAGTGAGGAGGGAAAAGAGTGGGTTGGCAAATTACACCTCCGCGTGAGCTCCCACGCGAAGGTTTACTTTAGCTACAAAATCATACCTCGCGCGAGACAGACAGTGGGTTACAACAATCGGAGATGTCGTCATTCCTACAACAGCAAAAATAGAGACATTATCGATCAAATGACTCTCCTTTGATGGCATGTTTGACGCTCCACTAGATGTGTCGTTTGATCGCTCTCTAATTGCGAGAATGGCTWCATCATGAGGAAACTTTGCTATTGGCACTTCCTCTCCAAACATCCACGCAAGTGGATAAAGGTATTTCAATCACTGGCAAATTCAGAGCAATCCCTCAAGAATATCCTACCAAATCCTCTTCGCAGCCATTACATACCGCTCCACTCCATCCAGCTTCAAATCGCTCTTCTCGGTTCTCTCGCGTCCTTTCCTCTCCCTTTCCCTCAATTGATGCACACCATCGGGATCATCCTCGTAAATCCATCTCCGCTTATCTTCATTGACTTCCACGGTCCCCCAACCGCCGACACGCCGTCCATGTGTGTCCACGCTCTCGCGTTCCCGCTCCTTCATACCTTTGTATCTTCTGCGAGCAAAGTTGAGCAGTCCGATCCCCAAGACTAGCTTGGAAGCCAGGCAAACAAGGTATATCGCCAGAAAGAACATCACCATGGTAGCCAGAGCGATGAAATCATCGAAGTCATAGTATCGGTATCCAACATGATTGCTCCCCGCCCCAAACGTTGATCTGCCAAGCGCCTGACGGAAGACTTGGTCGATGTGTTGCAACGCGGCCGTAGTCAGCGGCGAAGAGCTGGCCGGATCAGAGATTGACGTGGCGCTGGATGGGATAGGTAGCGGCATGTGGATGGCGAGGAACATGTGGTAGGTCTGCATGCAAGCTCGGATGAAGAGGCAGCTCAGTGGTATCACTGGCAATCCAAACCGTTTCGTGAGATTCTGGTCTGCAAAGGCGTGCGAATAGTAGTCTTTCGCGAGGACATCCAAGAAACGGCTGTAAATGTTTGGCTTGATGTTGTTGAACTTTCCAATATACGCGTGTTTGCACCAGTCCACCAGTGCTTCGCTGCCCAGAACTATCAGGAATGGACCGAGAACCTCACCAGTCCATGTAGGCAAGACGTTGAAGGCCTTGGGAATCGTGAATCCAGAGACCAATGGCACGCTGGCTCCACTGGCTGAGAAAGGCACGGCGGGTGTTTCGCCACCTCCCACTTCCACGATGTTACGACAAGCAATGACGATCAGCATGAGCCACAATTGGAAGCGCTCGACAATGTCTGCACACGTCAACTGAAACAAATTCTCCTTTTCGAATTTTTTGAAGACTGTGCCCTTGATCTCCACGAACTGATTGCTCATCAACAGTGTCAGTAATGCATTCGAGTAGGAATTGACCGCTACGTTGAGTGTCACGACTTGATAGAATAGCGCAGTCGCATGTATGACGTTGTAGACGAGTGCCAGAATGAACATCAGCAGCGGGCGAAGAAGCTTGCTTCGACCGGCTTCGTTGCGCTCCAAGGTCTCCTTGGAGAACAGGCACTCCAAGATGTCTTGGCCGATCGCAGAGAACAAGCGATCAAAGACTTCGAGCATGTTGTAGATGACGTAGAGCTTGATGGCAGATTGGCCCCGGATGGAATGATACATCCGACTCGCATCAAAATACATCAAGATCGTGCAGCTGCAAACAATCAGCAGACCTTGAAGAAGGTCTGCCTTGTGGTTAGGAAGCAGAGCAGAGGGTGTAGATTTTGCGCGCCGATGACGATAGCCAGACTTCTGCTTCCCACCGGCAGAGACAGGCGGTACAGCCGGATTGTCCATCTTTACTGCATGGCTGCTTTGGAGTTCTGCGCTCGGTTGCCGCGACCCGGAGCCGTCCGTGGATCTGGCAACCGACGGGCGGGGATTAACTGTGGTAGTCTCGGCGTGGCGACGTTGCCAGATCCTCCCCAGTCCGCTGTATACAAAAGTGGCCAAGAAACGAGCTTCCTGTGTGATTGCGAGAAGGATCCAGCGTAGAAGTATGACCAGCGCCTTGGTAAAGCGCAGGGGCAAGATAGTGAAGGTGTAGAGCCAGGCATCCAGACACGCAATCGCACCAAACCAGAGAACCTGCTCCAAGTTTGGCGGCAGGTAGAAAAAGTTGAGCAGTCGTTCAAATTTCACTTGGGATGACTCGTACGGAAAGTCCGCCCATTCCGATCTATGAATGTAGAGCGCAGACGGCCTGTCGGACGATAGCTCTAGATGGAGATAGGTTGGGAGTGAGAGAGGCGGAATGGGCAGAACCGACGGCATAGGTGATGCCTGCCTCTCGCGTTTCGGAGATGGTCTGGCAGAATTGCTGGTCGATCTGCGATCCTTAGCGTCATCTGTCTTCAAGGGCGATAGCTGGGGCTTTGTTTTCGACGGTTTCGACGATGATTGTCGGCGCTGGAAGATCGGACCAGATGCCGAACGTGAAGTGACATTCGGTCGGACGGTCGAGGTAGGCGTGGCGGCGATGAACGTATGTCCGTTGACGACGGGAGATGGAGAGTCTGAGCCTTCGGGTTGGAAGGGGGGCCCGAGTGCAYGCAACTCGGTGATCGGATTGTCCGACTGTAAGCTTTCGTCATAGTTTGCTGGATTTCCAWCGATTGCGCGTAGAGGAAGGGATTCCGGTGAGGTAGTGAGCTCCAGCACTTGATTTGGACTCAATTTCAGCGCTCTGGTTTCGCTGCTGCGCCGTCGATGTCGGGATCCATCTCGATCCGACTTCGTCTCGACGTCAGGTAGATGGCGGGATCTGTGACTAGGTTGAACATCGTCGAGTCGCTCTGTTGACTTCGATGGCTCTGGAAATGCCGGACTTCCGTGCTCGCTGATTGGAGACAGAGCCGGCGTGGGCAAGTTACATATCTCCCCAATGGGTTTGCCGTCAGCGGCAGTCTTGGGAGAGAAGCTCATCACGCATGGCTAGCCCGACTGTCATAGTTGTGTTCGAGCAAAGGAGCGTGGTGCAGGGCGCAAAGTTGTGCTAGAGATAGGAAGTGCTGTCAACATTGAATCCGCCGGGGATTTATAACCGCCCGTGTCTCTCTGGGGTACACGGGAGGGAGCACCCGAAGGCGCGCAAGACCCTCGCGCGTTGGAACTTAGGACGGCTCAGGAAACTGGACTTTTGGGAAAGATCGAGTCCAAGCTTTAGGAAGAGCGCTGTTCATATGCAAGCTCTCCCCATAAGCTCGAGTGTACCACGGAGGAACTCTTGCGGATGTTGTAACGATCAAACGCGCGTTGTGGGCCGAAAGGAGTCGGAGCAGAAAGATGGACAAGAAGCCGGCAGGAAAGATGTCGACCACAGGGACTCCGGGCGATGAGGCTAATAAGAAGAGACCATCTGTAACAGACCGACTGAGCTCAACCTCTTCCTCGAAATCGACGACCTCGCCGTCCACGAGCCGCACCAGCGCGCTGTCGTCCCGTGCCAATGGCACCACCATCACCAAGCCACCCACAAGACCTGTATCCGCCACCGTGCGCAAAGCAACTGCAAAGCCCACGGAAGATGCTGTATTAAAAGACGAGAACCGTAGATTGGCCAGAGCTAGCACACCCACCGCTGCCGCTTTGAGCTCGAGGCCCTCGAACCCCGAATCGAACACAACCAAGACAGCAGCGACGACTCGACGAACCACGCTGGGAGCCAGTAATGCTACATCAGCTCCACCTAAGAGGCCCTCGACATTGACCTCACGCACCAGTGCTGCGAGCCCTACGGTCGGTTCTACGACATCCGCTAGGTCACGCCTAGGGACCTCGTCCACAGTCCCATCTCGGCCATTGTCCCGAGCAGCTAAACCCACAACACCAACGGAGAGTGCAGTCTCCTCCGAAGGTGATAGTTCCCGGAGTGTGACGAGCACTGCACGTCCTGTGTCAAGGGACACCATTGCGGAAGAGCCCGAGTCGACGAGTAGCGTTGCGGCTAGTGTGCGGTCTCTTGACGCACCCTTCTCACCAGCATCTCCACGAAAGCTGGAGATCCGCTCTAACAAGTCTGCCACCCCGATGTTGAAACCGCAGGCCGCCTCCGACGCTGAAACTGAAACCAAACCGAAATCAACTTTTCGCCATGGCCGTTCACAGTCGAACCAGGTCGAGAGGCCTTCGACTGCGCCTGGCAAGAAGCTCACGGAGCAGGAACAGAACATGCGTGAGATGGAAGTTATGCAAAGCTTCTTGCGTGAGAGCATTGCCAGGGACACCCTAGCAGCGGAAATTGTTGATCTAAAAGCGGAGATATCAAAACTTGAGCGCGAGAACAAGAGGCTTGACGAGACATCGAAAGCGGCTCCTGTCAAGGATTTAGATGCTAAAAATGAAGATGCAGTCGCGGAACTGCTTGAGCAATTGGAGTCGGCCAATGCAACACACGAGAAAGCCATTTCCGAATTGGAATCAGCACACGCCGGAAAGGTGGACTCTCTTGAGTCTGAGCTTGAAAGTTATCGCAATCGGTCGTCTCGGCTTGAGGGGGTGGAAAGCAAGATTGGCGCTGTGCAAGAGGCGCTCGAAGAGAGCAAGACTCGGGCATCGCAAAACGAAAAAGATCTCCAGCAAGAGTTGCAGGAGAAGGAACAGGACCGTGGTCAGCTCGCTRCGGTAGTAGAGGAGCTGCGAGAGGAGATCGATCGCTGTCAACTCAAACTTGACGAGGACACCAAGGCACAAGCAAAAGAAAAGGAAGAGGCAAAGCAGGCCGCCGAGACATTGAGGAAGGAGATGGAAGACTTGAAAGCGCAAAGCGCAGCGGCCGTGGCGAAGGCTCATGAGACGGCTACGCAGCTTGGCAGAGAGTTAGCCGATGAGCGGCAGCAGAATGTTGACCGCGCCGCGGCAGAGGAGAGTGCATCTCAGGAATTCCGCGAACAGACTTCGAAGAAGATCCAGGCGCTGGAATCGTCCGTTGACACTGCTGAGCAGGCCGCAGAGCAACTTAGCAAAGACCTAGAAACGGAAAGGCAACGTGCACGGGAAATCGAAGCACGCGCGACCGATGAAGCGGCAGATGCCTCTGGACGCCTCGAAGAAGCTGCGAGGGAGGCACACCAGCGCGAGATCGAAGAGCTGCGAAAGGTCGCTGACGAAGCCGGAGAGGCAAACACGCGCCTGCAAGCCGAGATCGATGTCATTCGTGCTCAGGAGGTCGAAAATGCCGAAATGCATAAGGCTGCCTTGGAAAGCTCTGCAGATATCATCAAACGGTTGGAGATGGAAGCCGATAAGCTCTCGACGTCGCACGCTGCCGAGCTGGAGGGACACCTTCAGCGTGCTCAAGATAGCGATGCCTTGCTCGGAGACCTTCGCAAGCAACTGGACGATGCGACTCAAAACAGGGACCTTGAACAGAGCAACGACGAAGATTCGAAGAAGCAGACCCAACAAACGATCGAGCACCTCCGGGACGAGCTTGCTGAGCTGAAGAAACTCCGAGAGACTGAACAGGCCAGTCGTGCCGAATCTGACAAGAGCACGAAGCAACTTATAGGGAGTCTCCAGGACCAGATCCAAAAGTTGCAACACGACGGGAGCGACGCAAATACAAATGCAGAGGGACTTCAGACCCAACTCGATGAACTTCAGCGGACGAAAGTCGACCTCGAGGAGAAGCACAGGCAGGACCTCCAGAACCTCCAAGATACCATTGATACGTTGCAAACCGACAGTCGGAGTCTTGGAGATGTGCATTCGCAAGCCTTGGCGCTGAAGGACGAAGAACACCAGTCAACCAATGTGGTGGTTCAGGACTTACAGAACAAGGTTGTGGAGCTACAGCAGCAACTCCAAGATGCCAAGCATTCGAAGGAGCAGAGCATGAGCYACATGGACGAAGTGATCACATCTCTTCGCGAAGAAACCAGGGCTGTGAAGGAGAAAACCGCCGCGCAAATCGTTGCGAGGGACAACGAGAAGAACGAGCTCAGAAAGGTAATCGAGGAACTCCAAGGAAAGATCGTTGAGCATCAGCAGAGTGCAGAAGAYTCGAGGGTTCAGGCCGAGACAGAGAGTAGCAATGTTGGAAAGGCACTGGAAGGGCTACAGAACGAGCTACAAGTACTTCAGCACAAGCTTCACGACGAGCAAGCTGCTCGCCAAACTGCTGATCAGCAGACAAAAGAGCTGCAGCGGATGCATGACGATCTTACAAGCCAACACGAGAAGCTGCAAGCCGCCGTTGCGACTGCCGAGCAGCAATCAGAGGAAGTCCAGCGACTTCAGTCAGACCGAGACRAGATCCAGAAACAGTACGGAGATCTCGAGTCGCGCCATCATGTTGTAGTAGCGTCGGCCAGTGAGAAGCAAGCCAAATTGGACGAGCTCGCCGTACTGATTGCGGAGGCAGAGGAAGCAAAGTCCGCTGCAGAAAAGTCGTCGTTGAATGCGCAAGACGAGCTGAAGAGCCTGCAGAAAGTTCTGGACACTTTTACGCAGGATGGGGATGAAAAGGATGCACATCACGCCAAGGCGATCGCGAGGCTGAAGGCCGAGCTCGAGGAAAGCCGCGATTCTGCTCTCCATGCACTCAAGGACAGTCACGTTGCAGAGATTGAGAGGATAAGTCAGACCTTGACTAGCGAGCGCGAAAACCTCGCAATTGACTTTCAGGATAAGCACGAATCGTTGCTGAGAGAAAAGCAAGCGCTAGAAAAAAAGCTTGGGGACATTGCGATGCAACATAACCGGGAGCTTGAAGAAGAGACACAGAGGCACGAGGCAACGTACAAAGAGCTCCATGCTAGCTTTTTACAGCTGAAGGAGGCACATGCTCGTGTTCACGCTCAGCTTCAAAGTGTGATGGAAGAGCTGAAGAACGAACATGCACACACTATTGCAGCGCTTGCCGGAGAGCATGCCAACAGCTTGAGAGATATGATGACACAACATTCGGCGCAGATAGAGGAGATTGAGGCTGCCGCGTTGAGGAAATCCCACGAACTCGTTGCTGAAAGAGATCGAGCCCACGAAGCCGTGATCGCAGCACTAAAGGCTGAGCACGGTATTCTCCAACAGACTATCGCCGCAGACAGAGAGCAAGCCCATCAATCGGCTATTGCAATTCTCAATGCCGAATATGCTAGCAAACATGAAGCTGTGATAGCCGCCCTCCACCAGGAGCACACTGCCATCCGTGAGGCAGCTCTCGCGGCTCTCAGAGCAGATTTGACTGACGAGCACATTGCCACATTGGCGAYGCCCCATTCACGCGTTGCAGACAGTGCAAACACAACTACCATATCAAGCGACGGGTTGGACGGAAGGTCTCAAGATGCCTCGCAAGTGCCGTCGACGCTCACAACGCCCAAAAATGACGGAATTCCCGAGAAAGGGCTGTCTCATGTTTTCGTCCACCTTTCCGATGAGTCCGAGCAGGGCGATTTACTCTCGTCGGCAACTTCATCCGCCAATGTTTTGGAGGACGATGATGACTTTTCGCCAATTCTGGACCACACCGGAGATGGCAAGGGCGCGGGCGCTGAGGCTGGCCTTCAGATTCAGCTCCAAAAAGACAACGCGAGCCTGAACGCAATGTTGCAAGCTGCGCAGCACGAGATCGCTACTCTCAAGAGCGTAAAATTGGGAGCCGAGGAATTGCACGCTGCGCCACAGGAACACGTCACGCCAGAAATGAGAAATACAACAGCGACTTGGCGTGGAGACGCAGCCGCAATCCATGACGACCTGAGCAGAGCCACCGCAGACGGCTCCATGTCGTTGGAGGGCACGATGGAGAGTCTTCGTGTACAAACGCAGCAGCTCCTTGAGCTTAACGACGATTTTCTGGCGGAGCAGCAGAGATGGACCGGAAGACTTCGACGGAATGACAGCATCCAGGCGAGAAGCTCGCCACTGAGAGCAGCATCTTAGCGGCTGAGAAGAGCGCTTTTCGGGCAGGATCATCCTTTTATTGCGGAATACATACGTGTAAAGCTGTGCAGGTGTGTGGCGATAGGTGTATGATGGAACAGGACTGCTTGAGAGCAGGGTATTTCGATAGACGGTCAAGAAGGTTGGGAAGGCGGAAGCAAGATTGCTGTACATTCGATACCCAACAACTTCATAAGGAAGGATTTGTTCATGCTTGTAACATTCTTGCCACTAACCCAACTGGCTTCACTTCAGCTGCTCTCCTCATGCGCGACCTTCACTCGCGCGAATCATCGTTGGCGTCCTTCCATCACATGACAGACTAATACCGTTCTTAACAATTGTCTGCAAKGAAGAAGGTGACACTCACGCATGGTAAAATGCAGCATTGGCAGTCGTCTCCACACCAACATGGCAGACGGACCGGTGGTTTGGCAATTCCCTTCGCTATCGATGAAGCGCCACCGTTGCTCGAAGTCGCTGATGTTGTTGATGGAGGCATATTTGCGATTCCAGAGAGTGTGGCTGAGATTTTTGGACTGGTAAAGACGCAAGATGCTTCACTGTGGGGCTGTGTGAAGGCGAAGGACACAGGTGGTGATGCTTTGTCGAAGTGTACTAGGTATCAAGGAAGAACGCCGGGAAGGCTGGTTCGGAGCGTGGCGCGCGGCCCTCGTCACATGTTTCAAAGTACAGCGACTTGAGTAGTTAGATGTTATATATTCACTGCTTCTAAACATCAAACTTCTGATCAGATACCTTCGAACTTCAATCTCACATCTGAACAACAATCACTCAATCCATCAACATACCCGAAATCATCGATCACAGTGTCACCATCAGGAACAGAGGTGAGCAGGGCAATGCATCACATCTTCAATGCTGACTAACACGATATAGCTTCAAGTTACTTTACTTAGCCAACCGTCACGATGCGTGGTGCAAACGATCAAAATGTCTTATTCACCAAGCCGGCGGGAGTGAAGCAGCCGTGTATTGACGTGCCTTGCGGCCCAGGCTGCGATTGGTAATTTTGCACTTCTTATCGTTATTGATGTCTCACTGACGTATTTTTGATAAAGCGGCATCTGCTGCATCCCATGCACTGTGATGTAGTATCAGAGGGCAGGAGTGAGGATTCCGACGGCAGTAATTCATTCAGAGGCAGGCGAGGGTGGCGAGATGACGGGAACTTGTAAAAGTGCGGTCGACAAATTGAAACTGTGATGAACGAGCATGAGCCAGTTTAAACTTTCCTTTCCTTTCATCGACTTTGGTCACATTCGTRCGTTGAAATCTCCACAATTGAAAGCATCTACACTTCGCGCCAGGTCATTCCAGGTCGCTCATTCAAAGGGGTCTGAACCGCGTTCGAATCGCCGAAAGGATCGTCATCGTCCTCCGCCTCATCAGAGGCCCTTGACAGCGAGGAAGCAGCCACAGGCGGAGGAGGCATCGAAGTCGATGTTGGCCTTGGCGGCTGTGGTGGAGGAGGGGGATCGGAGATGTTAAGACCAGCGAGCTGTTCTTGTGTGTCGGGGCTGATCCCTTTGCTCGATTTTGATCGTTGGTCCCCGAGACTTTCCCAGGCGTCGCTATCACTATCATCACTGATGCTTCGATCCATAATCTCGTATGCMGTC